TGTCCCTATTCACTCCATCTCATTCCCCTCTACTTAGATCTTTTTTTAAGAATCATTAGGGAACCACAGTAAATGCAGGAGTAACTGTCCTGAAAAAGATCCATAAAAGTCAGGAGTCAATATCTCTCTTTTCTGCAATAGCTGTGCAGACCTGGGAAAATGTTAAAAAAATGTGGAAGACACTGCAAACAGTACATTTAACATTTGAAATCCAAAGTATTATATTACTAAGGAGGCAAACGTCACACCGCTTCTTTTCAATGCACCTTCTTTTTTCCCCTTTACTGGTGATTTTCAGCTGACAGATCAGCAGCTTTGCACAAATTAGCCTTTATGCAGTTTCACCTTGCCAATTGCATCCATGCTGAAAGTGCACTTCACTTTCTTTGACTGAAACCAACAAGGGCATTGACTGGACAACACTAGATCAGGAAAGAGAGAGACAGAGACAGTCCTAAGAGCACACTTCTGAAAGACTGCTATTAAAAAAAAAAGAAAAAGAAAATATGAAAACTTTAGCACATATTTGTCAAGCCAAAAAATACTGTACTTTCAAAAAAGTACTAAAACAGTGACATCCAAGATAACTGTGTTCTTTTTATTGCATATTGTAGATTAGCTATTTGTGTTAATATATTATCTTGCCCTGATTTTATGATGCTAGTATGAGAACAGTCATTTTCCAGTTTCCTTTGCTTCTCGTGAGATGTTCAAGCAAATATCCTGGTGAGCTTCCATTTTAATGAAAGCCTTCATTTTAATGCTAAATTAATTTGAGATTTCATTTTTCTGGCCATAGTTGCTTTATGGTAAAAGCAGAAACATAATACGGAGCAATCAGTTCTGTTCATTGCCTTTGGGAGTACTGTATCTACTGTGGCCTTAATCTTATTTTTCTGGGAATAACATCTTTTATTTCTGATGTTCCTTTCAAATAGCCATTCAATTTTTACTTTTGTCCTACCACTTTGTCCTGAAAATCATAGATTCCTTTGCCCTAGTTCCTAAGAAGTTTTCTTTGCATTTTTGCAATGCTTTCTCATTTGGTCACCAGCTCATTAAAAAAATCCTTCTGCATCCTCATTGTTCTGTTATTTTTTTCATATTCTCCTACATTTGGACAGTTCATAGTGGAGAACACAGATTTTAAAAAGTCTTCTAGATTCCTGATTAGTGCTCTCTATCCAGTTTAACTTAACTGGAGTGCCAGTCCATTTTTATGAAATACGTTTTCTGTCTTACTTACTTGATCTATACTGCTTACCATATTTAAAAAATAGAAAATGACTTCTGCTGTTAAATAGCAGAATTATGTCCAAATCACACGGTCACTTTTTCCACAGTACTCTGCGATTACCATTGCATTGCATTTGTACCCTGCCTTTTTAACTCTTGTGAAGGACCCAAAGCTGCTTACATAAGCTGCATTAGGCTGGGCTGAGAATCTTTGGTCCAAAGCCACTCAGTGGGCTGCATGACCAAGTGAGGACTAGAACCCAGATCTCCTGAGTCCTCAGTCCAGTACTGTCACCATTGCACCACACTGGCTATCAAAAGAATGCTTGTGTTGTTGTTGTTATTTATATGCTGCCTTACTTCTTGTGAGAACTTAAGACAGCTTGTGAAGTCTTCCTCTGCTCTGTTTTACCCTCACAACAACAGCCCTGTGAGGTAGGTGAGGCCTACAGTGTGTGACTAATCCAGAGTCACCCAGGAAGTTCCGTGGACTAGGATCCAAATCTCCTGAGCCCCCACCCCCACCCCGGTCCAGCACTCTAACCACTACACCACACTGATTGTTAGGTTTTGTTTTTGTTTTATTTTTCACTGGTCAAATCCTAACCTTTCAACAACAACAACAACAACAACAAAACTAAACAAACAAATCCATACCCTCCTTAGTGTCCACATCATCCTTTAAAAAGAGAAGATGTGCTTTCTATAACAAATAAGTTTTGTTATCATTTCCGAAGCTGATCGTATTGTAGCCAGAGCCATGCATTAACATCTCGCTTCCCTTTTTAAGGTGGACACTAGCCCACAAAATGGCTTTTCACCTGGCATGAAGCTGGAAGTTGCTGTCAAGCCTGGTCCTGACACATACTGGGTTGCCACCATCATCACCACTTGTGGGCAGTTACTGCTGTTGCGCTATGATGGTTATGGAGAAGACCGCAAGGCTGACTTCTGGTGCGATATCATGACCGCTGATTTGCACCCAGTTGGCTGGTGTGAGCAGAATAAGAAGACTCTCAAAGTGCCTGAAGGTAACCCTCTTCCATGGAATGGTGGGGGAAGGTTTGACTCTGGTGCTTAACCAGTAATTATTTTGAAGGCTTTGAAGTAATTATAATTATTCTGCCAGCTGATACAACTTTCTGGGCCATAGCCTGAATTCCTGCATGGCCTTTTGTCTTCAGTTTACCATGAACCTAAAATTAGGGCAGCCTAGCATGACTCACTGCTGAGTCCCCAGTCACCACTTAGCTGTAACATCTGTAAGCCAGCTGTACATGAACCCAGTTTTGTTCTTCTACTTACGCACTTTTTGGACCCATTAATATCAAGAATGAAATCCCTCTCTGGGTTCCTAATAATTCAGTTCTTCTGCTAGTTCCCACCCTGGAAGTTCTCTAACCTTGAACTTTAAAAAAGTGGATATCAAATTCTCAAAACAGTTTAACTGCAGTTTCTGTTTCTGAGTAACAATTGCTAAGCTGTTTGGGAAAGAGCAGGTGGGCCTCCTTTTGAGGTTCCAGGATTAATCTTTTGCTATGTTAAAAGATAGCAAAAGTAAATACTTTTTTATTTTAGGCATCAAAGATAAAATTTCTAACCAGGAAGAATTTCTTCAGCAAACTCTGAAAGGAGCATGCACTGCCCCTGCCAGTCTCCTAGAAGGGGTAAGTATGTACACAGATTGCAGTGGTAAAGAGACTTTGCCCATTTTATGCATTCAATGAATATAATTTTGTGCTGGATTTTGTAGCCGGAATGTGTTTTGTAATATATTTACCAGGCCCCTTTCCCAAAAGCATTCATATATCAGCAAGGTGACATAGCACAGTTTTGGTTGAATTGGATGATTTAAAGGGGCACAATTAAAAGCCAGAGAGTAATCCTTCCCCGCATAAAGGCAGAAGGTGGTAAGGATGGGGCAGAGAAACCCCTCTGGTGACAGAAAGAAGTTCCATCAGTGGGGCACCATGTCCAGCCCCGGGTTTCCTGTTCACACACACAAATCTGAACAGGTGTAGGAGTGCTACCAGTGGTAGTGGCCAGTTTGAGACAAGGACTGTATCCAAAGCTTGTTTGCTGACCCAAAACATCCCTAAGTTGAGCTTTCAACTGGTGCCTGCTCCATTCTGGTATGATGTCCCACTCACTGTTTCCACTGGGAATAGAACTTTTGAAAGTTCATATTTGCCAGGAAAAAAATTGTCCTCTCCCACCCTGGCAGAAATGAGTAGGCAGGCTTTACGAGTGGCAGACTACTACAAGACGCCCCCGCCCCCAAACTGCACACACCATTTAGAATTTCTCTTTTATAAAAATACTTCAGAACCTAATTACTGTGCTCTGACCAATTGCCCACTTCACATGGATGAGGGGAAGGAGCAGTCAAGGGGCTGAACTCGATCCCACAGCCTGCCCTCATGCCTGAAATCCTAATTCCGTTTTTATGTTCCACATAGGCAAAGTAAATCCAAGAGAACAGATAAGACACAGTACTTGGCCTGCTTTGGGAAGCAGAATGCATCACCCTTGTTTGTCTGCACAGCTGTTTGTGCAGGGAATAAACTTCTGTGATATGTATGGGCAAGCATAAATTTGAGAAATGCAAAGCTTGAGGCCAGAGCATAGTATACCACAATTAGGGGAAATAACCCAGAAATACAGAATCCACAATGGTGATTTAAACAGTGTCATTAAAAGAGTTTGATGGACCATAGTTTAAGAAAGAACCATATGAATGAGCTTTGAGCGCATGCATGGGTGGTGCTGGCGAGGGAAAGAGCTAAATTCTTCTCAGCCCCTGATTAAAATCCAAACCGGAGAGTACTTTAAGCACTAATTGTGGATTTGAGGTGACAGGTCTTGGGAGCATCTCTAATACAAAGTTCATGCAGATTGAGTGACTGGTGTTCAGAAGAACTAAGCTTGCATAGCACTTCGTAGGATAAATTTTACATGGCCAGTGACTCACCTGGGTTTTGTTTATATACAATACCCCTGGGAGTATATTAAAACTCATGACCTTAAAAATGTTCTTTCCTCACTTTCAGATAGTCATCCCTATCAGTGAAGGTCTTATAATATGGTTGACATATTTTTGCATCCCTTATGCTTGCTTGTTTTGTTTAAAATAAAAACACTGCTGCCCCATAGAATTGGAAAAGATTTTCCCCCCACACTTCTAGTGACAGTCAATGCTATTTGCTGTTTTGGGAAGCATGTGCCAACAGCTTGGTGGTGGCATCTCATGGAAAAATAGAGGTATTACACAAAGGCAGGTATTTAAAGCAGAAGATGCCTTCTCCCAGTGCCCCATGTGCAGGGAAGCCAAGAAAGCACTTCTGCGTTCTAATTCAAAAGGGCACACACTTGATATGAAGGATGCTCCATCACATAATCAACTGTGTTAACCAAAAAATATTTAGAAATGCTGACACATTTTAGCTATCTGGTTGAAATCAATGGAAGATGGACGGACCCCTTACCCTTACACAGTGATTGTGGCTCCACCTGCAGGCACAGCTCTTTCCTACAGAAGAGATAACACAAGGGCAGGAGCGTTTGAACAGACTGAGGAATCTGCTACAGGAGCTGTAGGTTGTATCATTTGTAAAAACAATAGAGCAGACATAGTTGCTGGCATTCCCTCAAAAGCAATACGGTTTTTTAAGGTCCACCTTCTTGGTCTTGAACAGGGAGGAAAATAAATCCCTTGACAGGAAAGCATGGAGGCAAACGGAAGCTCCAGTTTATGTGTGAATGTCCTGAACATCTACCTTGGCAAGAGTAATGGGCTTGACATACCATCTTAAGGTCTTTTCAGGCTCGGTGAATGGACAGTCATCTTGTTTTCATCATTTTGCTCTGCAGCTCCACCGAGGGAAGAATCCTTTGGATCTCATTGCACCAGGTTCAAGACTAGAATGCCAGCACTTGAATGATTCCCTCGGAGCATGGGTGGTCAGTGTTCTGGAAAACATTGGTGGCAGACTCCGACTGCGTTATGAAGGACTTGGAGATTCAGACCAGCATGACCTGTGGATGTTCTACTTGGATCCCTTTCTCCATCCAGTGGGTTGGGCAATTCAGCAAGGTTATATCCTCGAACCTCCTTCAGGTACAAAACTTCCTTTGCACAAATTAGAATGGCAGACTTTAAAGAAAGGCCTGAGTCTCGGTAGCCTGCCCATTAGCAAATATCAGTCTGGAGCAAGAATGAAATGAAAACCAGAGCCTGTAAATGTGTCCATATTGTCCCTTGTCTCATATTTGGGACAAATTGATGGTGCAGAAAGAGAATCTCTGGGATTAGTTGTTTACAAGTGTGCTGTAAGACATTGTGCTGAGCTGTGAGGAGCTGTGTCAGGAGAAAGGGAAGTAGCTCTTTCTATGATACCAGGAGAAACTTGTGATTTTAAACAGTGTGGTATTGTGATGTTGTGGCTCATATTTGTTCTGAGCTCAAAGTCTTAAATATATTCAAAAATAACCACATTTGTTTCAACTGAACCAAAAAACAAACTTTTAAAGCCCATGTAATGAATTTGCCCCCACTTTTTTTCTTTTTTAAGCCTCTAGTAGTGCTTATTATGTAATCTTAAGCCTAAGGATCATTCAGTCCATTTGCCATGCCCAAGGATGCACCACCAGATTAATGCCACGCAACTGTTTATAACTCAGGGACTTGCCATTTCCTTCTAAACATTGACTTAAGCTGCCCACTTGTACAATTGCCATGGCAACAGAGGTAAATTACTCTAGAAACCTAGGATTTGGTAGTGAAAAAGCTTATAACCATCTAAGCAATATGTTTCTGGCTTGAAGAGGTACTTTTAGACACAACCTAAAGGTACACATACCAGTACATTAGAGATAACCTTTAATGATTCCCCATCAGCAACTTGCTCACCTCCCACAGCTGCATCACCTACCTGAATTTTATTCCTAAATGTAAAAAGCAATTAGGATTCTGCATAAGAAGTGGTAGGACAGAATCATAATAGGAAATAATGCATGCGTTCCTTGAGGGCAGTGTTTTAAGGTGTTCAGCATGGGGTTTACAGGACTTGCTGGGGAGAGGAGATTTGCGCTGTGGTCTCTTTGTGCATAAAGTAAATAGCAGTGGTGTTAACTCTTTTCACATTATTTATTTGACCATGACGTAGGGATAGTGTAAAGGTGTCATGTTTACCGTGCTTTACTAGTAATATAACAAGCTACCATGCTTTTATTGAAGCTGTTAGACACTTGAAGTCTGAGGCAGAATGGCAGGAGATCCTGGCAAAAATAAAAGAAGAGGAAGAAGATTCTTTGGTGCCTACTGATCTATTTAAGGTACAACAACTGGGGGTTGCCTTGGAGCACCTTTAACTAATTGTATGGATAGCTGCAAAAGGTAATTGTTAGAAGCCAGCAACATGAGGCTATTATAGTTAGGTGTGCTTTGCCCATTGGTTCTGGTAAGCTCCAACTGAGTGAGTGAATTCCTGAAATACACATACGTAAGGTAATGAATTGAGATCAGTGAAACACATACAGTATTGGCTTCCCCATCTACAGACACACATTTGCAACTAAATAAGGGTTTTCAAAGCTGCTTTAGCTTTGCCTGGTTTCCACATGTAGCAGATTCCATCACTGTGGGGCAGTGACCAGCAATGCCTTTCTGTGTGCCCTTAACTATTTCCCTACTTGGACATTATGATAATAATCTGAGGTTCCCCTCCAGGGACCCCTGCAAGTGAGGTGAGGTGAGTCCAGTGAATAAAATTAATTTGGTATTGTTCACAGATGACTCTTAAAGAGTGTGCTGCAACACAGAAAAGTTGGAAATCCCAAAGAAGTGCAGGGCCCAGAGTATTTGGATTCCTTGAGTTGTGCCCTGAAGGCAGTTTTTGTTTTCATTTTGTTTTGTTTTTTTATCTTTTTTCTTTTACACTAAACGGCCCCTGCATGGATCAGAAGAGTATTTATTCAGATTTCGTACTTTCATTATGCTCCAAATTAGAAATCCCTAGGTGAAAAGTATTGTGTCAAATCCCATTCTGATTGAACTGAGGAGAGAATGCCATGCCTGTTTTAATAAGAGAGCGGTGCTGCCAGCTTTAATTTGCTGGGTTCCTGGAAATGGAATAGCTTTAAAATGCCAGTATGAGCTAGTGTGACTCTCTCTGAAATATTAAAGGATAAGGTTATATCTTTTATTTGTACCGGTAGAAGATACACTATGTCTCATGTTGTACAATGAACAATTTTCTGTCTCAGTGATTTTCTGTGCCAAAGAACCTCAGCAGTGATTAACATTTTCATGTTGTAATGTTTAGGACAAGCCTATTGTTGGAATGCACTCATTCTCGACGAAAATGAAGTTGGAGGCTGTCGATCCAAAGGCCCCCTTTGTCATCTCACCTGCTACAGTTACAAAGGTGCCAAATTATGTTCTCAAGTCTCTTAGCTGCAACTTTTGCTTTTCTTCTTCATGCAATGAAAACTACTCAATACAACTTCATACAATCTAAGACGTATTTTAGTTGCATGCACAACAATACCAATAAGCCGTAACAGTGGAAGTAATGTATTACAATCAGCATTAAAATCATCCATATTTTTTTCAGATCCAGGTGACTGATAAATTTTTTAAAATGATAGATCAGCTATTGTGTGTATGAGAGGGATTGTTTTTTTTGAGATCCAGGTGACTGATATATTTTTTAAAATGGTAGATCAGCTATTGTGTGTATGAGAGGGATTGTTTTTGTCGTAGCACTACTGGTTACAGTCTGAAACCTGTATATGATTTAATGGAGCCTAATCCAACTAAGGCTACAAACCTGGGGAACTTAGTGGGACTTAACTTGTGAATAAACATTGCACTGTGTGTGTTGTCTTCACTTATTTTCCATCTTAAGACTGTAACTAAATGTAGACTTGAAAATCAGACCATCTTCTTCCCCCATCCCCCCACCCCTTGATTAACATCCAGCCCGATAAAGAGTTCTTGAGAACTTGAAAGCTGTTTTTCTATTTTGTGATGGTTGGTCCTAAGAAGAAGGTTCTACCTGGGAAGGATTTTGGAATCTTTCTTACCATCCAGCACAGCCTTCTTCAGTTTTATTTTTTTCAAAGCTCTTAAGCTGGCACTTGCTTCCACACATGCTGATTTTAGAAGGCTGTTCCCATCTTGATAAATCCTAAACTATCTGATAATATTCCTGAGTTACAAGTCTTTCTGGTGGCCTGATAAGATACATAAGAAGTTCCAAGGCAGAGACTAACGAATTGAGAAACATGGGCCTCTGGGTGCTGTTGCACTGGAATTCCATCATCCTTGATCATTGCCCATTCTGACTAGGGCAGATGGGAGTTGGAATTCAACAGCTGGAAGTCCACATGTTCCCCACTCCTGTTATATTTATAAAATTTCTATACTATCCATCAGCTAAAAGGCTATCTGGATGGTTCACATCATAACCGTGCCTTCCAGCTGCACCAGTGCTTTTCTTCTAGAAGATCACCATCTTATTACCATTTTTATTGTACTTATAGCAGCTGACATGGTTGTTCGTGATAAAAAAACATTTCCTGTTTGTAAATGACAAAGTGTTAAATACCAATCTTAAAGAATCTTACAGTGTTCTTTAATCTTAACAGAGTGAAGAGGCAGGAACAAATATAAATGCTATCTAGCAAACATTTTAAACGATGATTCCTAGCGTTACTGCTGCCCCAAATTTTAAAATTATTACCATGAAAATCATTTTTAGCAGCAACAAGGCACTGAAACTGTTTGGATCCTGTTGGCTTCAGTGTAATTTTGTATATATCCTGGTACTCTTGAAAATCAGTGTAGGCTATTATTCAGTGTTAGCCTGATATAAAGCCCATTTATTTCATTGGGTCAGCTTTGACTAGAACTAATATTATATATTCTTCATTAGCGCCCAGATTGTTAGTGAGGCATTATATTTCTGGCATTCAGGTTGATGTTGTTTGCTTATAGGTACATTTCTATCAAAATTCATAAGCTACCTGAACAGTCCAGAAGTTAACTACTATTGACAGATGTGCAATTTTAGTATAAATTAAATTGGTACTTCCTAAGTATTGATAGGCAAATATCTCTGTTTCTTTTTATAAGCTATATGAACTGTAACATCACCAATGTCAACCCCTTTTTTGCCTAGTCAACATTGGCTTTATCTCACCCTTCTGTATCTTACTCCTTTTAAAACGTCTTATCATGATTTTGGCATGGAAAACTGTAACTGTGTGACAAATCTGTTGGACCAGCTTCTCAAGATTTGCTAATGTGTCCATCTTCTGAACAGCTGCAGATTTAATATAGTCCCCCTGCTGGCCACAATCTAATCAGCTTCAGAAGCTCATTATTGTAATCATCATAATAATTGCAGTTCTCCTAGAGAAAGGTCATTCTGTTGCTTCCCCCCCCCGCCCCCACCCCCACCCCCACCCCACCCCACCCCACCCGGGCCTGGTTAGCTTATTGTCTGCTCAGAAAGGGAAAAATGCTGTGCTAGCAATTGCTTTAAACGGCTTATTTTATTTTATCACTCTACTTCTATTTGTAGAGCACGATTGTTTTCTCACATTCTTTCAGAATCTCAAAGTTTTAGTTTCAATTCCAGCTTAAACTGTTTGGTTCCTCCTCTGTATATTTTAATTCATTGACTCAGTTCAGACATTTTTATTAACTTTTAAAAAATAGATTTAACATCCCATGTTACAATTTTTTTTCTTGAAAATATTTCTCAGATATAATAATAATCCTCTGAACAAACTGCCAGTGTTTTAAGAATGCCTCAGTGTTTTCAATCCACCTTTGCCTATTAAATTTATTTTACTTTCCCTTTCATCCAAGTCTCTTGTTTTAACTTTATTTAATTTTTTAAAACAATGTTTTCTGACCCATTTATTTATATATGCCTGTATTTCAGAAAATTCCTATTCCACTTTGCATTTTACAAAATGAAATCATGGTGAAATAATACATCCAGTTCTTAAAAACTAAAGGACCCTCAGGGAAAGCTGCCAGTCAAGGAAAAGACTGGACAAACAAGTGTCCAGTTCCACTGTTGTTGGAAGCACATTGCCATAGCAGCCCGCCTGGTCTCCACAGGGAGATCGTTCCACATGGAGCACTGCACAATTGAGAAGGCCTTCCTCTACAGCACAGCAGAATGAATGGCAATAAGATACAATCTGGTCAGCAAATTCTTCCTGACCAAAAGCAGAGACCAGGATGTCCTGTATGGGAAAAGTCGGTCTCTCAGAAAACCAGGCCCTGAGCTGTTTAGATCTTACGAAACCAGCCATAACTCCTTAAACTTGACACAATAACTTGATTGGCAGCCATCAAGTTTGAGTATAACACCACACATTCTTACTCTCCATTTCATCTCTTATCCTGTTCTCTTTTTTCAGCATTTAGAGCATGCAACTTTGTTTTGTTCTTTTGTAAAGAGAAAAACTGCATTGCTATGGTGTGAAAGCCAGCTGTTCAAAGAAAGGGAGTAAGAGTACTCCAGTGGACTTTCCTGTGTTCTTAGTTACCTGAAAGATCACTCCTTTGGATCCTAGCCAATAAAGATGGTAGCTCAAAAACAAGGACTATCTGGCTGATAACGGACTATTTAAATCATTCCTCTTCCTTCTTGCAGGTGTTCAATGATCACTATTTCATGATAGAAATAGATGATCTGAGATCAGAACGCACCACAAGCCGTTCTTATGTGTGTCATGTCAACAGCCCTGGTATTTTCCCTGTGCAGTGGAGTCTAAAGAATGGCTTGCATCTCAGCCCTCCACCTGGTATGTATATATGTTCTTTGTACACTCATCAACAGTATTCTGGAATATGATGCTTTTGTATTTGAAGTTACTGTTGTTCCACAAGCTGGAATATTGTTTCTTGGGTTAAATTGCAGCTACTTGAACAGTTTAATAGCACATGGTAACTGTAGACCTGGAACAGGCAATGGTTATAGGCTTTTTTAAGTATTCAGTAAAACTTGATTTAAGAATGAAGGTATTACTGCATATTCAGAAACTTGCAATATACTACAAGGTTGAAGGTGCCAATGAGATATAGAAGAATGGTGGGTGAGGTCTGCAGAGGCCACAGCTCAGTAGATGACCTTGGGCTAGTTATTGTTTCTTAGTCCAGGCCTCCTGGGGAGACCATGACCCTTTTCACCAACCCCTTGGCAATTTCCTGATCTTTATGCCTTCTCATCTCCTTCTTAATAGGTTGATAATTTTGGATCGGATATTCCCTCTGGTGGACTGTGGGAATGTTGTGAACATAATATACCTTGACTTCAGCAAAGCTTTTGGCAAAGTGCCCCAGGATATCCTGAGTAGCAGGCTAGCAAAAGGTGGGCTGGATGAAACAGCTATCAGGTGGATTCACAGTTGGCTACAGAATTGGACTTGGGGAGTGTTTATCAATGGTACCATCTCTAAGTGGGAAGAGATAGCAAGTGGGGTACCTCCAGAGCTCTTCAACATTTTTAGTAAGGGGTTGGATGAGGAAGTACAGAGGCTGCTTGACACAAAATTGGGTGGGTTAGTTAGTATCTCAGAAGACAGAAACAAAATTCAAAGTTTGATAGTTTGGAGCACCGACTGAAAACAACAGAATAACATTTAACCGGGATAAATGCCAGGTTCTACACCTAGGAAAAAGAAATCCAGTACATAGTTACAAGATGGAGGGTACTTGGCTCAACAATACTACAGGCAAGGAGGATCTCAGGATTGTTAAGAGATAGGCTGACAGTAGACAGTGTGGTGTCACTGCAAAAAGGGCAAATGCTCTTTGCGGGTACATTAATAGAAGTATCACTTCCAAATCCTGTGAAGTATTAGTTTCCCTGCACTCAGCTCTATTTAAGCCTCATCTTGAATACTGCATCCAGTTCTGGTCACCACAGATGAAGAATGATGCAGACAAACTGGAAAAGGTTTAGGGGAGGGCAGCACAGTTGATCAGGAGACTGAAAGCCAAAGCTTTGTGAAGAGAGACTGAAAGAAATGGGCATGCTTCAGCATATGGCAGCATTCTTCAAATACTTAAGACTGTCACGGAGGAGGACTAGGATCTCTTCTCCATTATCCCAGATTGCAGGACACAGAATAATAAAGTTACAGAAAGCCAAATTCCTGATGAGCTACAGGAAAAACATCTATTCTTAGAGCACTACAACCATGGAGCCAATTACCAAGGGAAGTTGTGGGTTCTCCCACACTGGAGGCAATTAGGGTGTAACTAGACAACCAGCTGTTAGGGATATTTTAACTAGGATCCCTGCACTGAGCTGGTGGGTGGATCTGATGGCCTTGGCTCCTTCCAATTCTGCTACTCTGTGAATGGCCCTTCCTAAAGCTGAGTTAATGATAGTAAGTGCCTTAAGCCAAAATACGCTGGTACTGTGGCCCCAGGTACCTTTACCAGAAGGTTCTGCATTGCTACAATACATAGGAAAAAACATACTTTTCAGAAGTTACTTCAGCTCCAAAGCCTTTATGAAGAGAAAGCAGAAGTTGGAACTGACTGGTTTGATTTCCTTGCAGTCCAAGGGACTCACAGGAGTCTTCTCCTGCACCACAATTCAAAGGCCTCAGTTATTCAGCGCTCAGCCTTCCTTATGACACAGCTTTCACAGCCATACATTGCAACTGGGAAAACCATACCCTTGAATATATGCACTTTTGTTGGCAGGGTGATGTCTCTGCTTTTTAGTATGCTGTCTAGATTTGCCATAGCTTTCCTCCCCAGGAGCAAGCATCTTTTAATTTCTTGGCTGCAGTCCCCATCTGCAGTGATCTTGGAGCCCAGGAAAATAAAATCTGTCACTACCTCCATTGCTTCCCCATCTGTTTGCCAGGAAGTGATCGGACCAGATGCCATGATCTTAGTTTTCTTGATGTTGAGTTTCAAGCCAACTTTTGCACTCCCCTCCTTCACCCGCATCAAGAGGCTCTTTAGTTCCTCTTCACTCTCTGTCATTAGAGTGGTATCATCTGCATATCTGAGGTTGTTGATATTTCTCCCAGCAATCTTAATTCCAACTTGTGATTCATCTAGCCCCACCTTTCTCATGATGTGCTCTGCATACAAGTTAAATATATGCAGAGCTTCTCTAGTTTTTAATAAATTGGCATGCTGCAAAAGACTCAAAATCACACACACACACACACACACACCCCTTCTGGATTGTTGTTCACTTCTTGTCAGGACCAACCAAAAAAAGCCTTTAAAATGAATGAGGACATTTCTGAAGAAAGTAGGAATGTTGACCATTGCTGTGATTTCATTCATTGGCTAACAGCACTGACAGGCAGGAGTAGGTTAGTTTCTCATGAAATGAAACAGCAGAATAATTTCTGCTTATTTTGCCTCCAATCTCAGGTTCTACAAGAGCTGGAGGCGTGTGTGTTTGCGCACACATTTGTTTTTCAGTGAAGCTTGAGAATTGGGAGATTATGGCTTGTTGGGAAGCTGGAGGGCCCCTCCCTGCCCTCCTCTGTTGGGGCTCATGATATCACCCGGATCTTTTTGGAAGAATTGTATGATTACAAATATAACAGAGTCACTTTCTTGATTCATAGGTTATCCTGGACAGGACTTTGACTGGGCAGACTATCTCAAACAGTGTGGAGCTGAGGCTGCTCCCGAGAGTTGTTTTTCCATGGTGAGCATAACATTCACTATTTAATGTGTTCGTTCAGAGGTCTATATTTTATTTGCAAAGCTTCTTAGTCGCAGCGCATCATGGTAACAAATGAAGAATTAACCTATTGGGGGGTGGGGGTTTAGAGTATGACTTCATACCATAGTGTCTAAACAGATGTGTGTGGTGTTTAACATCCAGTTTATTATGCAGGAGCCAGTGAAGTTATAAGAATTTAAGTGTAATACTGCATTTTATGTCTGACCAAAAAGAGCAGACAAGTTGGTACACTTGTACCAACTGCTTAGATTGCAAGTGGGGATTCTTACGATGGAATGCTTTCCCATAAGAAAAACCAGTCCTGCCCTGGGAATTTATTAGAGAAAACTGGAGTAGACTATAAAACTAAACTAGACCTGACATCTAATATTTAAGGTTCAGAGGGTTTTTTGAGTGGCTGAGATCCAAACATAGCCCTGTGTATACATGGAAAGGGTTTTTTGTGAGGTTGCCAGTTTTGCTTTCCAACTACAACTCTTCCTTTATTATCACATTGTACGTAGCTGTAGTGAGTCCCCCAACTCCAGGAACATCTTTTTGTAAGGACATCATATACAGCATGTTTTTATCCTTTCCTAGTGTATGTATGTAATCTCTTAGCCTAGAGAGGTGTGACTGAGACACAGGCTTATTATGTTGCTGGCTGTTTGGATGAACCAAGCCTTCCTTTACACATAAAGTAAGTGTCTAAGGAGACAAAAAGTATCCACTTTGTTGTGTTTAATTTTTTATTTTAACTACTGCAAGCTTTCATTCAGAAGCAGACCGTCCCATATGTTCCAGCACAAATACATCATTTTTTTAAAAAATGGTTGCCTAATTGAAGTTATTTTGTGATTTAAAAGAAGCTACCCTTTCTGATTAAATGTTGTTTTGAACTTAGTCTCTGAGTCCTTGGTGATCTTCCAAGAGTCCACTTAACCACTTTTTCTGAATAAATTTTGTGACTTGTTACCCCATTGGTACTGAAAACTACTCTAAAAATAAACATTCTACCTAAATGTAAATTCTGTGTTTTGTCCCTTTAGTTAAATTCTGACCATGGATTTAAGGAGAACATGAAACTTGAGGCTGTGAACCCAGAAGATCCACAAGAAATTTGTGTTGCTACAGTTACAAAGGTGAAGGATTCCTATCTCTGGCTGCAGTTGGAAAGTAAGTTATAGTTTGGAGAATCAATATTGTGCATTTGGTTTTCCTTTTCAAATGGTTACATTAACACCATTGAATGTCATAAATTTCCAGCTACAACAAAACATGGAGGCTATATTCATATTTGATCTGTTCATTTACTATCCCATTCCTGGTAAAACTGACAGGAAAGAAAATCAAAGACCTGTATCCTGCCAGATTCCTATTCTTGTTCTACCTGTGAAGCACCTCAGGCTACAGAGAGCTGAGCATAGAGATGCATAGAACTATAAGCACATGAGCTTGTGGTGTAGGAAGCTGTATGCTGGGAGGTATAAGATCACAACAAATAGTATGCTTGAGTAGCTGTGTAAGACTTTTGCATGTTATTTTGACAGGTTCTAAAATGCCCATCCTTGAATGCATAGTGAGTGTGGAATCCATGAATATATTTCCAGTAGGTTGGTGTGAAACTAATGGATACCAGCTCAGGCCTCCTCGCAGAGCAATAGGTATGAATAACTATTACCATAATATAATGTATTGTGGAATCGAACTGATTGCATACTTGAGAGTACTCCATAGCCATTTCTCACATGTAATAATAATAATAAAAATACATGTTCTGTACTGCAACTTAGAAGAAAATTCCTACAAAGGAAAGGGGAAGAAAGCTGTAGGACATTTTGAATTAACACTTTCCTGATCTCCCGAGAAACTAGTAGTTAGTAATCAGAGAAGCAATTGGAAGATCATGCAAAGCACCTGCATTTAGACTAGCCTTATAGGAGTTATACATTTTAGGAGTAAAATTGGAGAAATGCAATCCCCTCAGTTCTGGAAAAAGAAAATCTTGTGCACCCAGATGGGAACCTTTTTTGTTACAGTCTCTTGTTCAGCTTCTGTTTAGAAATGGCTGCCCCAAGCAGTTACAAAACATGGCTTTAATCCGTTGCTTGTTCGCATAAATGCTGTTCCTCTCCATGTAAAACGTTATGATAGCTGCATATTACACCATGGGACACCTTTAAAAATATTATATTGGCTTTTCATTGTGTTTCATTTCATTTATAGTGAACAAGGAAAAGAAAATTGCAGTGGTCCAACCAGAGAAGCAGTAAGTAGTCAATGCATTTCTCATTACTAACCATTGCCTTTTTTGAGAACTTTCAATACAATGACAGCTAGAGCCCACCAACTGGAAATGATTGAAATAATATCCATCTAGATTTCTTCTGCAATGGCTTGACTCTTCTGAGCTTTGATACAGAGTCTTCACGAGGTCAGAATTTCTCTTAATGTGTACAGTGCAGCTAAATCTTTTCTGAATTCTGTTAATAGACACAGTTTATTATGTGTAAGTGGTCCTAAAGCATCTATCAGTATACTAAATTTACATTTGGAGTTGCATTATAGGGAGGGTAGTTTCATGAGAAATAAAACTTTTCCATTGTTCCCCAGGTAAGTGTGTAATAAATGAAATTCTTCTGTTTCTTTTTCAGTGTCTCCCTTACTGGTAGGATAACTTTGTTCCTGCCTTTGCTTGGGCTAGTTATTTATTCATTTATGCTCTGTGGGTGCCAGCCCAGGATGGGTGGCACTTTGCCAAAGATTACCACCTTGTTTCTACTGCTTCATTCTTTATTCAAAGCTTAGGCACATCTTTTGTTATGACACTTGACAAGACTGAAGGGATAGGAGGTTTAATGTTCCCTCCCCACCACATTTTTAGTTAAGTTGATAGTGTCCCAAAGCACCTGTGCCTCTAACAGCCTCACAGGTGATGCTGTAACTAATTAAGTCTCTCAATTTTTCTTCCTTTTTCCTTCTTTGAAAGAATACTATCTTCAAGGACTGACAATGAAGGACTAAAGAGCCAGGAACTAAACACTGCTGACACCAGTAAGGCGGAAGTGTGTGTGTGTGTGCGTGTGCGTTTCTATGTGTAAGTAGGTGGACAGGGATGCTATAAACGCTGTGTCAGTACAATACATGAGGGAGAGGGTTCTTGCAGAATCAAATCTAGAGATACGTTACATTCTGCTTATGAAAAAATGTTATGTATATAAAGGAAGGGAACTTCCCCATTTAATAGTGCAATCAGGGGTGAAAGGGAACAGGTCTAGAGAACAGTGGAGTTCCAGGAGAGAAAATCCATGTGGAAGTAGTTCCAGACAAAACATCTAGTCAACCTCCATCCCAGGCTTCAGATAATTCAGAAGTACAATTTTGGGGCAAGGCCCTTGCTAACCACTGCTTCCTGCTTGTGCTTTGAACTGTGGCAGCTCTGCAGTGAGGCCCTGTATTCAGCTTTGCAGATGCCTGTGGCAACTCTATAAGCACAAGATTGCCTGACGGTAAAAATCCATATGTGCCAGATGGTGAAATCTAATCATTTGCTAAACTGTTGAATGAATGAATGTTGAATAAGTACATCTGCTGCTGAAATGGCCAAACAAATCTATTGGTACTCTCTAAAATCTTACTGCATGACTTGCATTGCAGCAAAATGTGTGTTTCAGGAACTACCTAATGTAAGCTTTGCAGAAACAGAGGCTGCTCATTCTGGGATTTAATTGGTTTTTAAATGGAGAGGCGTTATGTCAATACAATCCCATCTCTATATATGCCCATTATAAACTTCATGGAATAAGGGCTGTAAAAGAAAGTGACTCTTAGACGAAGCACAGCTAAAATTGAATGACTGTTGGTATATCAATATCTTTAACAATCTTGCATCACAGAGGATGCTGGCTTATTTTGAAAACTTGAGCAATAAGCTAGCTGTACACATTGTTTCAGTATTGACACATATAGCTCCGGAAAACAGGTTTTCAAGAAGACATATGAAAATACCAATATTTTCATCAAGCTTTCACGATGCAAACACAATTCATCAGTCATACATTATGGTCCTCCCTGATCTGGGCAGGTGCTTGACAACTCCCCAACCTGAACAAGCTGCCCAAAATATCTCAAGCTAAAACATAGAAAAAGAACGAGTCAGAAGGGGTCTCCCGGGCCATCTAGTCTGACCTCCGGCACCAGCCGGCTCCACTCACGACATGCCCACCATGTGCATGTCATGAACCTTGGTAGTACATAAAAAAAAGCTTATACAACTGAAGTAGGACACAAATAAGGAGCCAATGTATCTGCTCCAGTTGCTTTACTCAGAAGGATGTAGTTTCCAGAAATTCATCAAGGATATTTTAGAGGTTCCTCCTCTACATCAGAAATCTCATCTCTTGCCTTGACCAGCCTACCCCAGCCTGGGACCCACCTGATGTGTTAGACCACAGCTGCCGTCATCCACAGGCAGAATGGTCAGTGAATAGTAAAAATTGTAGTCCAGCACATCTTCAGGGTACCAGATTGTAGAAGGCTGGTCTAAACCTCGTATTCATTCTGAATTTGGTACTATGTCATTTCAGTCCCTAACCACTGTGGGCAAGGGCAGTCAAGTGGAAGGTTATTTCCCAGAGGGTGGGATGAGGAGCAGCTTTAGTTCTGAGAATGCACACAGGTTTGTCTTCAAAGGAGTCTTTACAGTAGAAGGGCTTTGCTGCTGGCACAAGACAGCCACCCTGAATTCTGGCGACAGCCTGTCCCACTGCAGCCTCCCATGCAGCCCCCCGTGCAGTTCCAGTGGGTCCCTTCAGCCTCCGAATCGACTTCTGCGGTGGGGCAGTGGCTGCAGGGATGGCTCAGCATTCCACTCATGCTTTTCAGGTTCCAGCCCATTACATTTAGAAGTTAACCGCGATGAGGTGGGCTGTCAGTGTTAAATAATAAACCATTGAGATGGATGCTAGCCATATGTGGCAAGGGTTTGAGTTATAAAAGGAAAGACATATGCATGTGAAGTTGTTTACGTTATTTTCACATCTGTTGTTTAAATTTCCTGAGTGCTAATATTTAAAGTGGGTGGTTTTGCAGCATGTTCTGAAACCTTTTTACTTTTCCAGTTGTAACAAATGGTAAATACTGCTGTCCAAAGATCTACTTCAACCACCGCTGCTTCTCAGGACCATACCTTAACAAAGGTAGAATTGCGGAACTGCCACAGTCTGTAGGACCTGGAAATTGTGTGCTTGTTCTTAAAGAGGTAAGGGCGTTTGCAAAGCATGGCGCTGCTGTGAGCTGTGTGCCAGCTGGACCAACCGCGACCAGCCCCGCTGCAGCCTGCCTGCTCAGTCCCCTCACCTGGCTCAGGAACAGAAAGGGGGATCAAGAGTCCCCAAATCTCTCTTTGGAGCCTACACTCCACTGGGGAGTGGTTCCGTGGGGCCTTCTCAGGACCCCTGCACCCCCAGAGCCTGATTGCCCCAGCCAGAATGGAAAGACAGGTCCAAAATTTGCCCTGCCAGCTACTGGCCAGACAAGCCCCATGTTGCTGTGGAGGCTGGGAACACCCGACCCACTCACAACCAGCCTGTGTGTACAACCGGGGGCAGAGGCTTCAGTGCCACCAAGCCTGAGGCCACCCCAGCTATCTCAGGGAGGAGGACCATTGAGCAGCCAGGCCTTGCAGAACCAATCCCCTCTTCTGTCCGAAGCGGATACATTTACTGAGTGTTCCATTGCTTTGATGCGTTTAAAAAAATATATTAACCACCTCGAGCACTTCATGAATTGTAGCAGTGGCATAGAAAAACCTGCAATTAATTAATTAAAGTTTTAGGGGAGGCATGTAATTCTGTAAGGCATGTAATTAATTCACAGCATTGGATAAGAGCCCAAGTAGCATTGCCAAGAAGAATATGCATACCTGCCACTGAACCATGCAACAGTAAAATGTCTCCAAGGCAGAATATTAGTTTCAGTGTCAGTAACTAGATCTGTAAAGACGTGCATGGTACTTTGAGAACATCTTGATTAGTCTGACTGCCTCTGGGGGCTTCTGCTGCATGTTAAGAGCTGTGGGGTATTCCTCAAAGAGGCAGGCTTGTCAGATACTGTCCCGTGGTACAGCAACACAAAGCACTTCAGTATGATTTATTTTAAATCTCAGGTTCATTATTCTTGGTCATTTGCTCATTAAATTGATAGATATTTCCTTGCATGCTTCTTTCCTTGGAATGAATTGAATGGAGCAACTTTCACTCATAGTTTTTTCCAGTTATATTAATGCAAAGATGAATCTTTTCTTTGAATGCTACCTTAACCAGCTTTCCTTCTCCTTTCTGAATGATGTGCAGTTAAATTTAGTAGCGAGCTCCCAATTACCTGCCATCTTCAGCTGTTTTCCAGAAGCCTCCTTCTCCAGGAACCTTTCCTTTGGAACCATTGTTTAAATCTCATTGCTTATAACTCTACGCTTTCCTTCAAATTTTCTTGGTTCCCCTATTTACCAAAGATTTTAGGCCCTTCTATATTAGTATAAAGCCAGACCTTCACAGAACTATGAGTTCTTTGGGAATCAAAAGTAATGAAAAGTGTGCTAGAAATTAAAGCATCTCAGCTGAATTAACATTTGCTAGATGAAGACAGTGCTGTGATGTTCCTTGAACAAACCTGAAGGAAAAGAGGAACAACAGCTATATTAAGTGTTGAGAGCTGCTAGAATTGCAAAGTTAATGGCAGACAAGTAATAAATGCTTGGCAAATCCTTGCTTACTGTCTGTTTGGTTTGCAGTTACTGTAGTTCATCCTAATCTTATCATGTCTGCTTACTTGAGTGTGTGCTGTTGATACTCTTATTGTGGTTAATTCTGATGGCTACAATTAATCTTCTAAGCCATGTTTACATGTTAAAATCATTGTTACTGTACAAGTTACTTAATGCTGTCACTTTCTTCTCTCTCCCCCATTTTCAGGTTCTCTCTTTGTTGATCAATGCTGCCTACAAGCCTAGCCGTGTTCTTAGAGAAATACAATTGGATGAGGAAGCTGCATGGCACGGATATGGAGAAACCCTGAAAGCAAAGTAAATTGCCCCTCCTGTTTCATGTGCTTCTCATTTACTCTTAAAGCCAGATTGGACATGACAAAGGAAAATCCCCCCTCGCAACTTTTGCAGTGCTGATGTGGGAGGGGAGGTGATGCGTTTGCTAGGCAGACAAGTGCTTCATCCTTTACTTCCATTCCACCCCACCCCATGTAATAACAATGATGAGGAGCCAGTGGGGTGCAGTGGTTACCAGTGCAAGACTGGGACTCAGGAGACCCGGGTTCTAGTCCCTGCTCAACCACGGAACAAACTGGATGACCTTGGGCAGTCACAGACTTTCAGCCCAACCTCCTTCACAGGGTTGTTGTTGTGGGGATAAGGTTGAGAGCAAGAGGAGAAGGACATAAGCCACTCTGAGTTCTTTAAAAAAAGTGAGATATAAATCTACTATAGATAAATTAAAAATGCCGGTAATACCATATTTATTACAGTTTGATAATATACTAGAAATCAGGAATGCAAGTTTATGCGTAGATGATGTGGATGGCCTGATTTTGGGTGGGGAGTTTATTTGGAGGGGAGAATTGGTTGCATAAATGTTAAGCGACCCTTCAGTCACTCGTTTTCCTAACCATACGCTTGAATCAGAAGTTAATGATTCATGCCTTCTCTCCCATTTTTCCTGTTCCTCCAAAATATAAATGTATTTGATGTGAAATGAAAATACACTCCATCTAATATAACATGTCTTTCTCTGTGTTTAAGTCTTTATCTTTAAATGGGGTCCAGAAAATAGTTTGAGCAAAAGGGTAGCTGTATTTTCAGATGTCAAGAATCTGGTCTAATATGCTCTCTTCTAGTCACACCATGTCCTAGAATTGTCTTTTACTTTTTTGGGTCAGATTGATAATTTAGGGGGACTCAAGCAGGTATTCCATGTTTAACTAGGAGCGAGGTATTTCAGATATTGCAAAATTGGTATTGCAACACGGAGCAGTTTAGTAACTATTGAAGCTCACTTGGGCATCTGATAATTTGTTCAATAAAGGGGTAAGAGGCTGAATCAACTGAAGGTCAGCAAAACATCTAGGATAATTAGAAGTTATTGATAAGTTTTTGTCATGTAAGTAAATAGACTATCAAGTTCAGAGCAATTGGCACAGGTGCATGGCTTGAAACAGAGTCCTTTGGAAAGTTTGAGATAGACTAAGTCACCTGCCTTCCTTCCCTTTGAATTGGAGCCAGCAATTCTGAACTACACTGGTGGAAAATTTATCTTCCTCTCACAAGGAGGGTTTGCAGTTGCTGCTTCCAGCATTCCCAAACGCCCTTCACTGGCACTGGGGGCTCTGTGGTGGTTACTGCTGCTCCGTCTGCTCTGGGTGCAGGGATGGCCTTAGTCTAGCCGTCTCCTTGGTTCCCAGAAGGAATGCTAGTACCCCCTGGACCCAGTGCCCAGGACATTTGCATTGCACCATCTGTCCTGGGTGCCCACACAAGAAAAGAAGGCACGAGACTGATCATGCCCTGCCTTTGCAGCTGCCACCCCAGTTGGGAGCGGCAGTTCCTCTCCAGCCTGGATATTGAGGCTGGAGTGATCCACTTGTTCTGAAGCAAGACATCATAAGTTGCTGGGATATATATTCAGAATCTAGGAATTGCAAACTTTACCTCTTTAGCAATACCGATACTGATTCAACTAACATGTCTTTATCTGATTATGATGATGCCCAGTGTTTCACCAACCCTATGATGGCTTGTATATTTAACTGCATAAAAGGATGTGGCTTCCATACCATCACTCCCCCCCCCCCCATCTCAGTTGTAGTCAACCAAATGTTTCTTTGCTTGATACAGGTATAAAGGAAAGAGTTACCGTGCAACGGTGGAGGTTGTAAGAACAGCTGATCGGGTTTCAGAGTTCTGCAGGCAGACCTGTATCAAATTAGAATGTTGTCCGAATCTCTTCGGCCCCCAGATGGTGCTAGACAAGTGTTCAGAGAACTGCTCTGTTCTGACAAAAACCAAATATAGTGAGTATTACGGTGTTTGGTCTTACGAGGAACTGTTCTTATTCAGTGGCCAGAAAACCTAGTTTCCCATCAATACACAGTATCTGTCAAATGACTGCAAAAGATAAAACTCTGAATACTATGCTGAACCTCTGAGTGCCAACTCCAATGGAAACCCATAGGGTGGCAACAAGGGGGAGGGCCTTTTCTGTGGTTCCCCCTCCTTTGTTTGAAATAAGCCCAGTCTTGCCATCTTTTGGTGCCAGGTCAAGATAGCCCCATATATGAAGGCCTTTAAAGATCTCTTTGGTTATCCAAGGGCCTGAGGGGATTATCTTTTCCTTATTTTAAATTCATTTTTTAAATTCATGTTGATGGTATTTGCATGGTATTTTATTATTTTGTTTTATATGTTGTTGTAAAGCACCAAAGAGCTTTGGCTGTGGAGCAGTATAAAAATGAAATAAATAGCAACAACTTTCTGTAGATGCTCAGAAGAAACACTGTACCAGGACCATACCATTATGCCTTATTTCTAATATCTGCCTGTAGAATACTTGGAGCAGCCTTCGCCAACCGGGCACGCTTCAGATGTGGCGGACTGCAAATGCCACCATTCTAAGCCATCTTTGGTGCTCTCTGGGAAGCACCAGGCTGAGCAAGGATGACTTGGACAGTTAGTGCATGAGGCACAGAGCTCCCATAAAAGAGTAGTCGGCTAGTCCCCATGATGTCAAGGCAAAGCAACCTGTTTGGCAGGTGGTCCATGACTGGATCTTTGGACATGTTTGTCTTCAAAAGAGCTACAAAGAATTTCAAATTTGATCAAAACTGGCCCAAAGAATTCCATGTGGTCTTCCAAGATAAAACACTGGTACATTTAGAAAGTCCTGTGGGAAGATTTAGCAGCTTTGTAAGAAAGGCATAGTATCCTATGGCAGCCTTAAAATGAAAACAAAAACATCAGGAGGTACGGTTCCAGATCTGCTTAAATATTGGAGAGTTTCAATAAGCATGTTAATGGAATATGTATATTTATCAGCTTTTTCTTGATTGCAATGAATGATACAGCTGTTTAGGAACACCTGGAAAAATTCCTGAATCATGATCTCAAGAAAGTATCCAGCTTCTTCATAATTGATCCTAAAAGCTGTTGTTTTATACCTTGAAGAAAAAAAGCAAGCCTGTTGATATCAACAGCTTACTGCGTGCAGTGCTTTTACTTTGCTGTAAAAATAAAGGCTGCATTACCTTTGCTTGCTTCCAGATCATTCAGAATACATAGGGGCAGTTTGTGGGATCAAAGACTTATCCAGCAGCCAAGCAGCTGCCTCTTGGAAGCCCACAAGCAGTGTGAGAGCAACAGCAGCTCCCGCTCATATTTCCCTGTAACCGGTGCTGAGAGCCAGGCTGTCCCAGTACTGAAAATAATACAGAGTATTGTCCTTACCATCAACTGTATGAAACCTAAAAGTGGTGCTAGTTATAGCTACCTGGCTCCTCTGTACCTTGCACCCACGCTGCAGTCTCTTGTGCTTTCTCTCTTCTACATTCGTGCTTTTTCTCTCTCTCTGTTGTTAGGATCCCTCTCATCAGCCCCTACTTAAGTTTGCATGACTTTAAAAAAAAATTTTTCTTGGGGCCTGTGTAGCATACTTGAGCGCCATACAGCCAGGAACTCTCCTGCTGGGCAAAGATCTGCATGGGTGAGCTCACCAAGAGTGGCAAGAGTTTTTGCTAAGCAGCCCCTTCCTGCAACCTGTGATGGAATCATTCTCCTGGGGTTGAATAACATGATGACCTAGCAGTCAGCAACCCTAAGAACAGGCCACGGGGTTCTAAGCAGGGGTTTGCTCCCCTTCAGGAAGTAGTCCGCGAGACAATATGGCAGCTCACCATGGCCAGCAACCCACAATGAGTTGCCATGCCATGCAGACCCAGTCACTGCTTTGTCTAACATCGTCCCCACATTCATTCGTCTGTTGACAAAACCGTCCCCATCCCGCCATATATCATTTATTTCATGTATTAACATTTATATACTATCTTAACAGCTACAGCTGTCCAGGAGATTTACAAGGATTAAAAACCTTTTTTAACAGTATTATGCAGAATATAATAGTATCTATATGTTTAGCTGAAAACATACAGATCAGAAACACAAACACATAACCAACTAATATCCCATAGTCTGATTAAAAACCTCTTTTAATGCCTGGGAGTAGAGGAAGGTCTTAACCTGGTACTGAAAAGACAACCATGTTGACACCCAGCAGGTTTCTTCATAACTGGGGGCTGCTTCCAAGAAGGCCCTCTCCCTTTTTGCCATCTGCCAAGCTGTCCTTGGAGCAGGCACTCAGGGAAAGGCCTTGACAGATGATGAGCATAGCGCACGGGCAGGTTCAGGCTGGGAGAGGCTCTCCATCAGGTGTTCTAGTCCCAAGGCATGGAAGCCTTTATTTAGTCAATGTACCCTGCGTTCTGCCAAGTAAAATAGCATTCCAGGTGGCTTACAATCCTAAATAAAATTTGATTAGAACCATAGTAAAAACAAATGCATTACAACAGCATTAACAACCAAACGACACAATAAAAATTATACTTCAGCACACCTGGTGGGATCACCACCCACGTATTAAGAAATATTGAGCACTACGTAGTTTGATGTGCAGATGTTGGCAGCCCCTCTGAAACACTGTGCTACATAGACTAGTAGGCTTAATGAACTGCTACATCATTTGTTCTGTATTTCTAAGACCCACACCTACAGGATTGAGTGCAGGTATTGCGCAGTAACTATAGTGCTTTCAAGAGTGCCCCTCAAATCTCTCAGTGGCGCACTTTTTAAAGACTAAGAACTGAGGAGGCATCCTGAAGTTTCACAGGAAGAATTCTCTTCTTTTAAATTCCCCATAGCTCACTATTACGGGAAGCGGAGAAATAAAAGGATTGGCCGACCACCAGGTATCCACAGCAACACAGAGGCAAGCATGAAGAAGGCAAGCAGGAAGAGAAAGAAACGGAAAAACTTCTTTGTTCATAAGAAGAAACGATCATCTACCTCTGTAGATAACACACCAGCTGGCTCACCCCAAGTATGAGACATTTGTTTTGGGCATCATATGCTGGATAGGGGCTGGATAAAGGAATCGTGGAATATGCTTCGGCACGCAAGCCTCGCTAACCCCCAGCCCTCCTTTCCATATCATTTCAGGGCAGCGGATGTGAAGAGGAGGATGACCAGGATGAAGTGGACGAAGAATCCCTGACAGAAGACAGTACCTCTGAGCATCAGGAAGAACTGTTAGAAGAGTCTGAAGTGTCTGAGAAGAAATCGCGGTCCTCCTCCCCCGCACAGAGTGAGCGGTCCCATTTTGGGGCTCAGGACCGGGACAAACAGAAGAGAAAACTGTGTTCCTTTTCCTTTTCAGATGATGAAAATAAGCCCCCTTCACCAAAGGTATGCCTTCATGTAAAGAAAAACAGAGAGCATACTCCCTAGCAGTGAATATCTAGTTTTCAAAATGAGGGACCTCGTCATTCAGTTACTTAGACCTTGAATGCAGGCATGCCTTGCACATTTGTTCATTCCCAGTCAGACAGCAATTTAACAACATACGAGCCTGTACATAAGGGCTGAGTATGTGCTGAGTGTGGCCTGTTTGAACCATGGGTTAATGTGTTAGGAACCCAGCTGCAGCATACTATGCAGTAATAGCATACAGATTCCAAATGTTTCAAGAGTTTGTTACCAGTTTATTACGTATAAATGTAGTATCACCAAGTTTTTACATGTGAGTACTGTTCGCTTCCCTATTTCAGATGCAGTTATGAGAATTAAAGTCACATGTTTAGTGTTGTTTATCATGCTCTGTATAAAGATGTTTTACCAAATTTGAGAAGCTTGTGTTGTACAGAGAGACTCAAGCTACCATGCAAACAAGGGGAATCATAAGTGAGATTTAAAAGCTTTTATTAGAGAGGGAGGACCTATATGATCTTCTTAAAATCTCATGGGAAATGGATTTAGGGAAAGATATAGACAAGGGAGAGTGTGGGAAAATATGGGAAGAAAGAATATTTAATGATATATCAATTAGAATTAAGGAAAAATATATACATTAATATGGAAACAATACCTGATGCCGGTAAAAGTATTCTATATGGATAATAAATACTCTAATTTAGGTTGGCACTGTGGGATTAAGGTGAAAAAGGTTGATAAATAAGAATTATTTTAATGTTATATGCCAGGGGTCCTCAAACTTTTTCAGTAGGGGGCCAGTTGAAAGGTGGCAGCTACATGCGCGGGCTGGGGAGGGGGAGGTGCCTGAGTGCGAGGGCCGGTGAGGCGTCGGGTGTGCGCAAGGTGGTGTTGGGTGCACGCAGTGGCGACTCACTTGGAGATCTCCCAGCGAGTCCAAAACCATCTTGAGCGAGCAAGCCACTGCCTCCCTGTGCTGCAAGGCAGTGGCGAGCAAGCGTGTGCAGGAGAGGCAAGCGGCAGCGGCGGCTTGCTCACTCGGAGATGGTTTTGAACTCGCTGGGAGATCTCCCAACGAGTCCAAGACCATCTCCGAGTGAGCAAGCTACCACCTCCCGCGGGCGGTAAGCGTGCTTGTGCGCAGACGGTGGCGCAGGCCAAATGAAAGGGCATGATGGGCCGGATCCATCCCGCGGGCCGTAGTTTGAGGACCACTGTTATATGCGGTTCATTTAGTGAACATGTATTAATAAAAAGGAAGGGTATTAAAGCTTCTGTTGATTCAGTGCAATTTTGGATGGAAGGGAGTATTCATGAAAGAGAGGAAATTTAGAAGGATGAAGAAAGAAATGAAGAAAAAATATTGGGTAGTTATGGTTCTGGTGGAGGGGTACACTAGTCGATTTTATATATAGTTTTCTGTTGTTTATTATGTCATTTTTAATTTTTCTTACGACTATTTTATATTTTTAGTATCATTTTGTAGTAGCTTAAATTGAAAAAGAAAGACAACAGGCAATAAAGTAATTGGTAGAAAGCAAAAAACCAAAAAAAGCAACAAAGTTTGAATACATATCCTGTAAACACTTTCTTGGGAGTACACCCCAATATACTCCGTGGAGACTTACTTCAGATAAACATGCACAGGAATTCACTGTTGCTGTGTTAATCTAGTTTGGCTTACAGACCTTCAAATTGTGTGTGATTATTGCTGTTTAACCTGTTGCATCCCTAGTGCTCTATGAGAGCATCAGAACACTTCAAAACAGCATGAGAATTATTAACCAGTATGCACAACGTAGAAATGGATGAGATATATACCTAAAGAAAAAAAACACATCAGCTATTGACTAGTGGAAGCCCTACCTATTAATCAAATCTGGTTTCTATGATTTGGGAACGGGGTTGCCCCCAGAGTTGCCCATTGGGCTTCATTTTTCCCCACAATCACACAGACACACAAATTTATCACTTTACTTGAGGTGCATGTAGGGCAGGGAAGAAATGGGGACAGAGAGCAAAATGCTTACATTCTGTGTTTTTGTACTTGGCCTACACTTCATGGCTTAATTTTCATTGCTGCACACAGACTATGAAAGTTCTTTTAATGAAGATATGGCAAAATGTAGATGTATCTCTAAGCAAGGCAAATATGGTATTTTTACTTTTCTGTTTTGTGATTAGGAAATAAAGATAGAAGTTGGCGAGAAATTGCAGCTGGACAGCAACCCTCTGGAATGGAGCGTAGCTGATGTTGTGCGATTCCTCAAATCTACAGACTGTGCACCATTAGCTAGAATATTTATGGATCAGGTATTCTAGTGTTCTTTTCTTTAACAACTACTAATTGAACACTTGAAATTTGTTGTAAACAGTAAGCATGCCATGTTTGTCCCAGTATGACACAAAATTACCCCCTTTTGATCCCCACATTTATACTCATCTAAAGATGTTTTTTATTTTGATTTGCTAGCCTTTGGTGAGACTACAAGTTTGCTACTATTGAATGCATATTGATAGCATTTATTAGTTCTGACTCCTGTCCTCCCTCCCTCCCTCTCTCTCTCTCTCCAGGAAATAGATGGACAGGCACTTCTCCTGCTCACCCTTCCCACTGTTCAGGAGTGCATGGACTTGAAACTTGGCCCAGCCATTAAACTTTGCCATCACATTGAAAGAGTTAAATTTGCCTTCTACCAGCAGTTTGCTAACTAAAGGGGAATTGGTGGAGGGAGAGGACAGAAAGCTGAAACTGAATTTTTGAAGCACAACTGCAGTCTCCTGCTCTTTCTTCAGCAAGGGGAGCCAAGCAGGGTCAGAGAGAACGGCTCATGAATAGACATTTGCAGTCTTGCACTTTGAGGAAAGAAAAAAAATTACTTGGAGCAAAACATAAACATGGTCCTAGCTCTTTTCCCAGCTGTCTCTTGGGTTAGGAATGCAGTACTTGCTCATTCTATACACCAAGACTCTTTTATGAATAAAAGTGGTTGTAATCTCTCCTCCAAGGGGAGAAAATTTCCTCAAGTTCTAGTGTGAAAAGGAGAAACTTGACCGCATGTGGAAGGGAATGCAGAGTGATGGAAATCTCCTTGCTGTGTGCAGAACTACCCCGTTTTCCTTGCCTTCAAGATGATTGCCAAGATAAGTGCTGTGGCCAAAAGCTTAAACACTGAAGTGCAGCCAGATTTGTTTATGGTCTTTATTTTGCAGCTTGCTCTCTACCTCTACAACCTGAAAAAGCTACAAGGGAAGTAAACATTTTGGGGAAGGTCATATATGGCTATGCAATGGCTGCTTTTCTGCAGCTAGATTAAGGAAGCCAACTTTTTTTTCTCCTGACAGATACTCTGTGCCTTTAACAGCTGATAGTCACACACTTGGGGGTAGAGACTTTTGTCTGGAGAGGTAGTGATGGTGATGCCTGATGCCATTTCTGTCTGACATGCTGGTAAAGGCACAGAGTGGGTGGGGTGGGGGAGATTTTGGAAACTGTAGATCAGAAATTTGAATGTTTGCTTTGAATGGCTTTGCTTTACAGAAAAGCTGCAATGAGTTTTTAAATTATTTTTACTGAAAGCTGCTCAGAAATACTGACACTTTAGTAATATCATTTTTCTGTTTCGGACAATTTTAGTGAAGTATTGCATGTTACTTTTTCTAGGAAAAAAACCGACACGATAGGGATTACATTTTCTTCTCTTGTCCTCATTTGTTTGAAAAACCAACCTTGCATCGGTAGAGGAAGAAAGAATGGAAACTGAGCTCCTGCCAATACTCAGATGTTACGAGTTTCCTCCAAATAATTGTAGTTGTTGTGTAATGCATGGGTGGAATAGCAACTTCCCTCTTCTAGCTAAGTATATAACAGCATGGATGTCCTCTTGTGGCACAGTTCATGCATATGTTGACCTATGTTGACCGTGTACGCGTTTGGAGATGTTAGGAGATGGGGATCCATGGTTCTCCACATGACTTTGTGGCTTAATGTAGAGAGAATTAATGTGCTGACTGATGTTTCTCAGTAGAGCAGCTTCCCACAACTGCAACCACTAATGTTGGGTGCACATGATTGAAGAAAATAAAGGTCTTGATTTCTGCAGAGTGGGTTCAAACTCATTGAGATTCAGTCATGCATCAGGCATTTCTACCCGTTATATGTGTATATTAAGTTTGAAAGATATCTGGTCACTTCAGTCTGTGAAGATTTGGTGTTCACAGATCAAAAGATTATTTTCTCCCTGGTCTTGTCCTAGGGTATGCATAAATGCTGTTTAAGAAGGGTGCATGGTATTTTGAAAGACATGGCCTCATTAGCTTCCAGCTATATAGGTCTCCCAAACTATAGATGAAGAGAATGATTTCCCAAGTGTTCATATTTCAGGTTTCAACCAAAGTAGATTTAGTACATAAAATCCTAAGTAAATGTACTTATGGGCCAAATTTGCACCTACACTTGTATATCAAATTAGTGCTATTTCTTTGGCCCATTTATTTATGAGAAAATGAATTTAGTGTGTTCATGTGCAAGCGAGTGTGGGTGTGTCTGAGGGCAAATGCCTCTATTTAGCACCAGAAAGAAAATGGATCTCTTTTCATCATCCAACCTCAATGTATCTTTTGCTCTATGAACAGGCACCTGTTGGGTACCTTAATCCAAAAAGGGAACCATATGAACTTTGTATGTACAAACAAATGTCTTTAAGATTTTCAGGGTTTTTAAAGTTCAAATTTTCATACTCCATACATTGCTGTAAATAAGTCTGTTTCTGATGCCAGTGGAGTAGATGCTGGCTATCTGGGATATATTTATACGCTTGTATTTCTTTCTTGCTTTAGCAGTTTGGTCCCAGTGGGATCCATTTAGGGGATTTCAAAAAGAAAATGCATTTCATTGTTTTGTTACTTTTGAGTGAGTCATTTCTATGCAACACACGGGTACTTGTAGACTTCGTTTCTCGAGGCAGTTCAAGCATGGCTTGTAGGCTGGAGTTTAAAGGGTTTGATGCAACCAACAAAGCATTCACTCCCTGAATAGTTCTGGAATATTCCCCTAGTGTAGTGAAATGTAACTTCACCTACAAACCCTTCATGTCATTCCATTTACTGGCCAGATGGATCAGCTGGAATTTTATCTGACTTAGTACTGATAATGACACTCATAAGCTCCTGTGCTATTGTAGTGGACTGGGGGTTGAGTTGGCAAACGTTGGTAGCATTGTATCCTTTTACTATACCAATGACATTCTAGTTAGGACAGGGGTATGCACCCATTGGCTTTAAGGTCTGTTTTATACTTTTCCCACAAAGCAAAAGTGGGAACAGGTAGATGTACTTTTTATTTCTCTTAGGGCTACTTGCTATGAAAAAGATAATGTGACAATACATTTTGCAGATGCAGGCTTTCTCCTGTGATTGGCTTTTTGGGAAGCAGTTTGCAAAAATATTAACACATTAACTTTGTCTACTGTACACTGAAAAGTTGCACATCTATCAAAATGTGAGATAGTTGTGGTCTAGTTTTACTTTTATAATGCTAGATATTTGGGAGAAGAAAGTGGGAAGCCAGTAGTGTGTAGGTCTTTTATCAGACTGTGTACTTGAAGGAGGCCTGGTGTAGAGGAACATTTATCAATGCTTTATCAATTCTGTGCCTGTCTTGGAACTTTCAATCCTGTTAAGATAATGGAAGCCTTATATTCCTGATCAGATCAATAATTCACAAGAAGGTAGAATGAGTTGGTTACAAAATGTATAGCAATATAATAAAGCATCATTTACTCCCTGAATTGAGCACACATTTTCCATATGTGTAGAGGATTGTTAATGTATTACTAGCCAAAGGCTAATCAGCTCAAAGCAGTTGGGTTGTACATGAGTGGAAGATTTTGCAAATATGCCAAATTGTGAAGTTTTAAAACCAGGATGGCTAATGCACATCTTTGCCTCAGCCACTTTATTTCTTTGTGTACATATTGTGAAGCTTTATGATTCTAATAGAAGACATGTTGCCAAAAGTCATTTTACCAGAGAACTAAATTAAATGTTTTAAATAAAAATCTTTTAACACAGTTTTCAGCTTTTGCTAAGAAGGTTACCTACTGTGCTGCCTGCTAAAGTTTTTGAAATACCCAAGTTTTGCAAAGCACAAATGGATTGGCTTTGCCTTGATGACCTCATGAGTATAAGTTTGACTGAGAGCTCATGTTGGTATTAACACTCCCCAAATCATTCGTGTATGACCTTTGATTTTGAAGGTAGCCTTATGAGTAAAAGGTCGGAATGGATTTTTATGTACAATGATAGATTTTAAACCTCATTCTGTAATGCAATGGTATTCACTGTGCATGCAGTAATCAGATACCCCGTGGGCTGGATTTATAGCAAATGGGTTGTACAGTGAATACCACTAATGTGAATTATTTATATATGTGCGTGTGTGTTTCAAAACATCAAAACTGGAGAGAGGCTGGAAGTACAGCAGTTATTTCTTACTAGTTGCTTACTTGCCAGCGTGGGATCTAATCCTTATACTGCAATCTACCTAAGATTGCTTAAATACAATTGGACATCTGCAGTATAAGGGGCCTGAACTATGGAATGCAGCAAGTTGCATGTATTTTTATCTCTGGAGGAAGCAAAGTTCCTCTGGCCTTCTCTTGTTAAGCTGCAAGTCTCTGCAGAAACAAACGACCAGACATGTGGAACTTTGAGTGATTTAAATAGATGACTTTCTGTAAAGAACTCGCTCCTTTCATTGCAACTCCTATGAAGCCTTAAGTACTGTCCATATGTCAGTGAGGCTTCATGTTGGCTTTTCATGCTGCTATCATGTTCCGCCCTCACCCAGTGCACACATCCAGTTCTATTAATGTTTATAGACAATCAAAATATCTTGAAAGAGCCTCCTAGGGCAGATATCGCCAACATATATGTAGATCTGTTTGTTGTAATTGCTCATGGACATGCACTTTCCCTGCTTCGTTTTCTTTAAAAAATGGTGTATATTGTGTTGTCTCCTCCTGCTTGCTGTATTTTTTCTCTTTGATTTTAATTAATATATATGTGTGAATTGAGGGTAAAATTCTAAAATGGAGGAATATGCACATTAAAATATTCATATTGAAGTTGCTCCTTTGCTGGATAAGTGCATCAGTTAAAGGGTTTTAAAATATTTTGGATGGATTATTTTGCTTGGGTTTTTTTTCATTTCTGTAAATGAATGTACATAATTTTGTGGTACTTCATAACTGTTTTAAGTGGTTGTAAGGAAATTAAAAATGCTTAAATTGGTGCTTGTTTCTGTTACGTCAATAAGTTGAGTATGCTTGAGTATTCAGAATTCTGTATGACATCACTGAAGGAAAGAGTAGCCAGATTATTATTACATGACAAGCACTTGTGGTTTCATAGTGGCAAAGGTATATTTCTAAGTATTTTACAAGTCAAGATGCATTACAACACATCCCAAGTACCAGGCATAGTTACCAATTGTCCTCTGGCTGAAAAGTAAGCAGTGGTAGAAAATTTCAGCAAGATGTTATACTTGAGGTTTTCCACCATGGAAATGCTATCTCTCTCTCTCTCTCTCTCTCTCTCTCTCACTCTCTCACTCTCTCACTCTCTCACACACACACACACACAATCCTTGATCTACTTCTGCCTGGATATTTGTGGGAGAGGCCACATGTTGTGATAGGAAATTAAGGGTCATGCTGAGAGATGCCAGGACTTTTATCTAAACATTCAAAGGATTACACCTTAAAATAGATTTAGAGCTTATCATTTGGAGAACATTAACCTCCTAATTTTAGTTATTCTTCCCAGGGGAGCTACAGAAGGTTGGTTTAAGGAAAACCAGAACCAAATTTTGGTGATCTTGTTAGCAGAGTCTTACATTCACATGTTATACTAACTCACAAATATAGGTCTTGGGCTTGCAATAGCATCCCCCCCTTTAAACAGCCAGTATGCACTACGTACATCAACCACCTGAGGCTGCAGGTAAGTTCATTTCTCCTTTGGAGCCATTTGACAGCTGTCAGAAGGTGAGGTGTCAAATGCTTCAAGTTATCCTTGCTTATGAAAGTGGGTTGACACCTCAAACATCCTCACAGTACATCCTTGAGGGGGGTTTTTGGGGAGGGGGTCATGTATTTCAAGGGTGCTTTCACTTTTGCACATGTTTGCAAGAATTTACTTTCTCCAGAACATGCAAAGGAAGAAGGAAGGAGTAAGTGGTTGGACAGCTGTCAAAATGGGAGCTCTAAAAGTGGAATTTAAAAGGAGTTAGTTTTAGACTGAAAAGAGTAGGTAGCATCTATTTGCATAATTTCCAACCCAAGAAAATTTTAATTCTTTCTAAACCCCACTTCAAAATGCAGCAGGCCCCCTTCCCACTGCAATCCAGGGTTCCTATGACCACACCAGTGTGCCTTCAGGCTTATGGAAAGGTGCAAATGTGACCAAACTAATACGTGAAATATATGTATTAAAACAGTGTACAATCACAGGCAGCTTTTCCAAAGTAGTGCTAGGTAACAATTGAGAAACATCTGATTGTTCATGAACGACAGCCAGCTTTTGTGATCTCACCACTCCACCTCTCAAAAAGGGCTTAAAATGTAAGGATGTGTGAGCCCAAAGCAGCTCATGGTGAGGAGGCAGAACCAGTGACAGCTGCACCAAAGTGCGGCTGTGATGCATTTGAGGGTAGCTCATAGACTCATAGAATAGTATAGTTGGAAGGGGCCATGAAGACCAAGTCCCTGCTGTTGCAGGGGACCATGTTACACGATCCCACCCAGATGGCTGTCCAGTTTCTTTTTAAATGTCTCATGTGGGAGAGCCCAACACCTCTCTAGGCAGCTGGTTCCACTGCTGTATTGCTCTGACAGTGAGGAAGCTTTTCCTGATGTCCAGCCTGAATCTGGGTTCTTGCAACTTGATTATTCCATGTCCTGCACTCCTGTATCAGTGAGATCTTGACCATCCTCTTTGTGGCAGCCTTTGAGGTACCTACAGAGTGATGTCATGTCCCCCCTGGGCTGAACATCCCCAGTTCTCTCAGTCTCTCCTCATGCTGGTCCTTGCTCATGAAATCCATAATGAGCAGCAAGGATATTTTGCCACTCTTGCCATGGGGAATACTAGCCACGTATGGACAATTCACAATCCATCAAGAGTATAACAACCCCTGGAACAAGTCACAAGTTGTTGGGTAGTGGTTGCCCATGCACAAGCCACCTGGGGCAGTGTAGGTTCAAATGACACAGCAACCCATCAACAGGTTGCCATGTCATGGGAACTCAGTGAAATCACATGAGTGCCATTTCTTGCAAAAGAATAGCTGTAATCTTATAAACAGACTTCCTTAGGAGTAACCCCAATAGTGGGGCTTATTTCTGAGAAAAACATGCATAGTATTGTACTGTGTGCTGTTTTTAAGATGGGTTAACTTTATAGTTTTGCACTAATGTTACAAGTAAATAAGAAACGGCTTTTATCACATTAATGTTTAAACACCTGGAAATAATTAGAGGCAAAGCCATACCTTCCTTCCGCTAGTATTGCATCCTGAGAACTGGTCACTGCAAGATGATGGAATTTGAGAGGACACCTGCTATTGCAATTTTGGTTGGATAGGGTTGTAATTTTCTTCCATCTCAGAAGGAACTTTAAACTTTTACAGCGCGACAATTTCAGAGCATGAGATTTAAGGGGTTTGTGGCTATGTGTGTGCTTCCAGGTTCCCTTCTAGCAGAATTAAATTGTAGCCCTGTATTTAATGAAAATATATTTAAGTACTACAAGAAACTGCAAAATGTAACCAAATGTGAAGTGCCCTTGCAGTACTTAATAATCGTCAGCATGACTGTTTTATTCCCAAGGGGGAATCTATTTCTCAAGCCAAGCAAACCTTACAAAGAGAATTGTAGAATATTTGAGCACAGATTTAGTTGTGATGTAAACTTCCAATGCAAACTAGTAAAATGCTTTGAGTGCAGTTGGATGTATTGGTTTATGGGACACAAAGTAGATTAATTAATAAAAGAAGCCAACTATCAACTTACAGATAACATTCTTGTTTCAATTTTCTAACTACCAAGCAGATGTTTAGTTCAAACCTACAATGAGGTCAACAAATGGCCAGTTTCTGTCCCTTCCTAAGTTCCTCTTTTCTGTATTTCTTCTCAGTGTCATTACTACTTCCACTTCCTTGTTTCTTCAGCTTATTTATAAAGATGCTCAACTGCGGACAAGTCAAATTTTTGAAGATCCAACTGTATGCCTTTTAACTGCCATGGTGGTGGTGGGACTCGTCAATTTAAACATTGTAAGCTGTCCTGAGATTTTTATATAATAGGATGGCATATAAAAGCTTTTAATAAACAAAATAAATAAATTATAGCTTGCGCGCCATAGTGCAAAGACTTTTAGGAAAAATGCTACGCCTATTTAGACATGCTTGCTGGGATTGTAGGACATTTTCTGTCCAACCATGCTTAAAATTGTACCCAAAGCTGATGTCCAGCTTCCTTGTGCAGAGATAGCCAGGCAGTAATTTTATCTTCTGATGCAGAACAAGAGTAATATTTGTTCATGTGTTGATAAGCCTTCATTTTATGACTCAATGCAGAAGCTGCTTCATCATCGGATCCAGTGCACAATCAATGCAGTGCTGATAATAACCCTGTTCACAATTACTGCTATAACTCACAGTAAGAAAACAGGTTTGTTTGCAGACAGGAACTAATCAGAGATATATCATCTTCCAAAAAAGAAAATTCATTCTGGCATACATATAGACTATTTTATATTGATACTTATTACATAGTCTAGATAAAAGCATATTAGCTTATAATAGACTGGCCTATAAAAGTCACCAAAGAGTGGAGCATTTTACAATTGGCCAAAACTAAAGGTGAGATAAGAAATGCACATGAATTAATTGCAGCTAGAGAGGGTTCGGTACTTTAAGAGAACTTAAAGGGTTTTCAATAAACTGAGTCTCTAAAATATACTTCTCCAACCTGGCTTGCTCCACATGTGCTTGGATACAATTTCCATCATCCCCAGTCAGCGTGGTCATTGGCCAACCTGATTGGGGATGATGGAAGCTGTACATTGATCCAGGCAGAAGGCATTAGTTTAGGAAGGCTTATTAGGAATTTACAAACATCTTATACACCAAAACCTCTGCCTTATATGTCACTGAATGCTGTCACACTGCAATTAACTCATCTCAAGCAAATACTGTATACTACTGCCAGAGAGAAAATAAGTTCAAAGGTGCATCTACAGTGGTGTTTTTGTTGGGAATTAGAAGGATGCTGAAGACGATTTTTTGACCTATAAAGTCTTTAGGACATGAGAGATAAGAGAGAAGTTCTGCTTCAGAAAATGATGGGCAAAACTGGGTTTCTCCAGTTTCCACTGAACTTCCAGTTCCAATTCTGAAATCCATGAGACGTCAGAATGTCCATTCAAAATTCAGTTTACAGTGGTTGCCAGCTCCAGCCACACCTGCAGTAAAAGTGCTGGAACCCTTCAGTGGGGTTATGTAGTCTCTCATCCCTACATGTGTTAGATGTTCCTACATTTGCATAGTGAAGATGACCTGAGGAAATTTCAGGATCCTGCAATAGGCTCTGATTATTCCTGAACCGTGGAAAGCTCTACAAAACAGGACCCTAGATTGACTACTGAAACAGGATTTAAACCAAATTTTGGCATCAGTTCTAGCCCAGCATTAAGCAATTTCCCAGTACATTGTTAACAACCATCAGTGCTATAATTCCTGCCTCTTCGGAAACACAGATGGTTAGTAGCAGGATATTATGTCTATCAGCTTTCTCAAGTGTGTCAATATTAATTGGCTTCTTTCCTTCCTTTTGTAAAGTTTTTCAGAATCTAGGCAGTCCCAGGGTTGTGAATGAGTTCCATTCCTGAGAAAATGGAAATTTGTCTTTAAGGTGAATTTGTATGTAAGACAGATCATGTATAGTTGGCACTCCACAATTACAGGGGTTAGGGGCACAGGACCCCCATGAAAGTGGAAAAAAACACAAATATCTCTAGCCCCCACTCCCTGCCCAAACTCACCAGTGCCCCCTCCTTGTAGCAGGGAAATGCTGGAGAGATTTCCCTCTCCAGATAGGCAGGGTAGAAAGGCCTCCTTTGGAGGCCTCCCTCTCACCTTTTGCTTCCTCTCTCTGGTGTTGTCAATTTCCTGCAGTAATTTTTAATCAATAGGCTTTATGGCAGTTTGTTCATAAGTATGGAATATTCAT